CAAGGAAGGGAAGTCCTTTAAATTGCCATCCACAAATTTCAAGATTCCTAAGGGGTGACTACGTGGTTAAAACTGCCACAAGTGCAGAGGTTTCTAACTTGGAACCCACATAGAGTCCTGGGAGCATTCTGTAGAGAACCTTTGAACCCACAGAGTCTGAAGGAATTAACATTCAAGACCTTGTTTTTAGTGGGCATCATGTCAACTAGGCGGATGTCAAGGAATTAACATTCAAGACCTTGTTTTTAGTGGGCATCATGTCAACTAGGTGGATGTCGGAACTGAGGACCCTGCCAGTTGACAGGGAACTCCATGTTTTCCACAATGATAGGGTGCCACTATGTTCCCAAGGTTAATCCAGTTCTTTCACAAGTCAGAGATCATTGTCTTACCTTCCTTTGTCTCAATTATAGACATGACAAGGAAAGGAAATGGCATTGCCTAGATGTTCATAGGGTATTTAGTTTTTCCATGACAGGGCATACATTGGCATGATTTGGATACCTTATTTGTTTCTTTTCGGATATCTGCTTTAGGTTAACTGGTATCACTTTTTACCTTAAGTAGGTGGTTTTAGGGGTGGCATCATTGTTGCATGCAAGGCTCAGGGGCTGGATCCACCCAAAGGTCTTCCAGCATATTCGCTGCAGGGAGCTGCTGTGTCAGCAGCTTACAGATCCATCCTTGGAGGGTACAGTGGCCCCGTGGAAGTCTGTGCACTCATTTATTAGACACTATAGAGTAGATAAGCTGACCTTGGCTGTGGCAGCTTTTCATTGGGGTGTGCTGCAGCACACCCTATAAACCAGAAGCTGGATTTCCCACCCTGGAGCACATTGCTATTTTATGTCCCAAAAGTAAGGACTTCCCCACTCCCAGGACCACTGGAGAATAGAAGATTTGTATTCACTTACCGTGAAGCTTCCTTTCTTGGTGGTCTTCCCACCCTGGAGCACATTGCTATTTTATGTCCCAAAAGTAAGGACTTTCCCACTCTCAGGACCACTGGAGAATAGAAGATTTGTATTCACTTACCGT